TGCTGCCGGCAGCCCTACCTGCAGCGGGTCCCCCTCCCGTGCTGCCGGGGTGTCAGCTCGCACCCCTTTCCCGTGGCCGCTCCCTGTCCTGTGAGCGGATCCGGGCTCAGCCCCAGCCCCTGCGCTCAGTCTCCGCCTGGATTCCCGGAGAAGGCCCAGATCTCTGATAAGGCCGCAGTCCCCGTGTCTGGCCCCGAGCGGTGTCCCCTTAGCGACGCAGGACTTACCCCCACCGCCTGGCCGCGGGTCTGGGTCTGTCGCTCATGCCTTCCCCCGCCGAGTGCGCTGGCCCGCCCGCCGCTCCCGGTGCCCGGAGTCAGATTACGGGCCTGGTCTGATTGGGCCGGGAGGGCAGGGGGGAGCCTGCCCGTGTGGCATCGCTCAGTGCCATTCGCCCTGGGCAGAGCTTTCCTCTCCCTGGTCCCCCTGGGCACGGCCTTCAGGAACACAGCTGGCCATTTGACCACAGGACTCCCCCAAATCCTTGTCTGCGCTCTCCCCCCGCCCCCACAAAGCACCGGTCCGTTGTGAGTTTGCAGTTGAAATTGGGCAGCTCTGAGACCACGGATGGCACCTTCCTGCCGTTGAGATGAACTGAGAGGCCGCAGCCCCTTTGCTTTTTGAGCCGCTGGCATTTATGCGAAGTGTTTGATCTGAGAAGCGGCATGTAACGCAGGTCTGTCCGCAGCCTGGGCAGCCTGGCCCGGACAACAGGGAATAAGAAAAGTAGGAACTGGGTCGTCTCCGCGATGCTGACCTGGGTTCTGTACTAACAACTGTGGGGAAGAAGTAGCAAAGGAAGACATAGCAGTTGGTGGGGGCAGTCACTAGGAGCTGTAGGGGGTTTAATGTCTAGACACCCGAGGACAGGACTGACTGCATCATGTGTGGAGCCCGCGCCAGCACACAGGCTGCTGGGCCTGAAGACAACTCCGGCCAGCGGTGCTGGTGAGCCTCAGGCCTGAGGATGGGCCGCAGCCTCTCCTAACCGGGCTCTTTAAATGGGCCTCGGGCGCCTCCAATTGGAACCATCATAGCCCTTTGCTGATGCGTCAGTCATCACCGGCCCATACCGGGCTCTCTTATTCTATGAGCGTTAGTTACTTGCTCTTCAATAAGACAATGGCCATTTAGGAACGCGCTGCTCAGCCCAACCAGGAGATGGTCGCTCATATCTCTCTGGGGGACCTTCCCCTCCCGGCCCCGCCTCTTCGTCTGATTTCAAACCAGAGTCTATTTCAGCGCGAGGTGTGGGAAGGAAGACCGTGGGTTCTCCTCGTGGGTGAGGCCCGTGGTCAGGGTCATAGACATGGGGCCCGGGCTCCCAGGGCTGCTGGCCGCGGGGGACCTTTTCTTTGGTGCCCTCGCTGCCGGCCTGGCTCATTAGCAGGCTCCCCGCGCATGGCGGTTCCCGGCAGCGGTTCACAAAGTGCCAGCAGCACTTGGCCTTGCAGCTTCTCAGAGCCTCTGCCTTTCCTCTGGCTGCGGGTCGCCGCCCTGGGGGGAGGTGTGGACAGTCCAGTTCCTAAGGGTGGCGGTTCTGGTTCCCGGTTCCGGTTCCCATCAAGGGAAGGGCCACCCTCATTGGCACCAGCTCTTACACTTATTAGCACGCTCAGCGGGGGATGATGGCTGGCCAGGGATTAACCCTTCACCCACTGGAGGCAGTTTTTCCCACTGGGCGGTACTTACTGTCCTTTTTAGGTTCCAGGTGGTAGAAGGGATCCTTCTGCCACACCTTCATCCCCGAGCAAGCCCCACGAGGGGTCTGGCATTTCTCTGGGGAGGGACACAGCTCTCCAATAGGATTGTCTGTGGCCTGCAGCGGGCACTCAGGATGTGACGATGGGAGAAGGCAGCCGTAATGAGTTTGCGGTGACTGTGGGATGAGAGGAGGTGGGGAGCCTGGCGAATATTCATCATTGTGTCTAAGTGGACCTGCTTTGAAGTGTCCTGGGTCAAGAGCCAAATGATATTTGGGATCTAAAATATCTTTTCCCCATTGGTGAATTTGGAAGGACCGATTTCACTTAGAAATAGAATAACAACGTATTGATGGATTCTCGACCTGCTCACTGAGTCGCCCTGCGATCTTTGGGGAGGATGGTAGCCGGGCCTGCTGATTCCAAATCAGCCCTTTGGGTCAGGCACCTGTGAGTGTCGGGGTGAGGAGCCTTGTGAAGCTGTGGGCCAGGAACATGAGAGGAAGAAGGAAAGAGGGTCAATGAAAGCTACAATAATTCTCAGCAGAAAGTAGCTGACTGACATATTGCTGAATTTTTAAACTACTTACGCCACACGGCTCTCCTTTGGCACTGCTGTTCGTCTTTGGGGTTGGTGGACTGTCCCCCACTTTGGCCCTCAGAACGCTGACCTCTTCCTCCTGTGTTCAGAGAGTGACAACTGAAACACTGCCCTGGCAGTGCCAGCAGGGCCTCCATCCCAGACGGGAAGTGCCCCAGGCTGGTGGGGGCAGAGACAATGGCAACCCATAAATCTTATTTTGCTTTTCACAAAATGCAGCATCATGAACCCCCCTAGAGCCCTTATATATCAATATGTTCAGTAAAAACAAACACATAAATACAATAGCAACTGCAGGGGCCACCACCACCACCACCAGCAGCTCACAGCCCCCTCCACCACCACCACTACCATCACTACCACCACCACCACCACCATCACTACCACCATCATCACCATCATCACCACCACCACCACCATCACCACCATCACCACCATCACCACCATCACCACCATCACTATCACCACCATCATCACTT